GTTTGCTGAAAGATATTACAATACTACATCAAATGAATTTGAATGATATAATAAAAAAAAACCTTTGAGACTATGACAAATGGCTGCTCAATAGATGATGGCTTCATAATAGAGATATAAATTAGCACTAAAGCCTGGACTATAGCAACTGGGCAGGTTCCACCGTATTTTATATACTCTTCTTACCTGATATGCTCTAGTCGTATTGATATCTGATCCTGAGAATGATGTATACGTCTGACAACTGTCATCTTGTTACGTGAGGGTTTGACGGGCTTTACTATTGGTACTGATGGTGTTTTAACTCGCTTAACCTTCGGCTTTCGTTCTTTCATAATACTCGGCGAAGAAACTAATCAAAAAAACACAAGAATTAATAATATTTACAAATGAGAAATAAATGCAAATGTCCTCCTTCGTGGAGGTATCTTCCTTAGCCCCTTCCCCTCTGTGGGGGATGTACAGATATTTTTTTGGAACTATGCAACATACCCTACACAGACCCTCCCAATTTCAATCCATGGGTAAACCTTCCTTACACCCTCCCCACCCATTGGGAATTTGAAAAAAAGCAAGTACAAATTTGTTTTGGAACAACATGAATAAATAATTGAATATGTTTACAGTCAAACCAGCTCATGCATTGCTATAAAGGTTCAAAGATTCAGTTGTTTATTGGAAGTTTGTTTTTCATCCTGCTTTGAAACTTACTTATAATGAAAATTAACGCTAAAATCCGATGTTTCGGAGTCATCTTGACTCCATTATCAAGGTTTAATAACCAAAGTTTCATCTCACTATTTAAATGTTTAACAAACAATGGGTATTGTCACGAATTCACAAATTAACAAAGTCAAACAAAGACTTTTGTTCTAATTGAGTCAGATTGTGTGTTAAGTGTTGGAGGGCGGTCACAGATGAAAAGCATCTTGTAAATTAAACAGTCAAATTTTCCTTTACATCTTTTGAGGATCTTAAAAGATTGTTTTATGTCCGGTTTATAAGACTTTGTTCAATTATCATGTGGCGTCCAATTGCTGATAGCTCAGATTTATGTTCTTCCATGCGTTGATGTAAATGCCGTGTTGTGTAGCCAATATAATCTGTATCGCACAGATCACACTTGCTTTGAAACTTGCATGTTATAATAATTAACAGAAATAATTTTAACTTTGCACGAATCTGTGAAGAACTAAATAAACTTTTATTCCGAGCCCATTATTCAAATTTCCAACTTTCATTTCATTAATGCAAGCTTCAAAGAAAGATGGAAATCAAACTTCCAATAATAAAATAAATCTTTGAAACTTGATAGGAACACATGAGCTGGTTTGACTGTAACCAATGAATGAAAGGGGCAAGCATTTATTTTACCTCTAAGTCTGGGTTGTGGAAACGGAAGTCCCTTTGATTTGTAAAATTTTCTCTCTCTTTTCTGTTCATCTGCAAGATTAGCACATAATGTCTTAGATGGAGTAAATGAAAGCCTTCTAAATATCTGTAATCCTTATACTTTACCTTGCTCAATTCTTGGAAATACCTTGTTTATTATATCTTGCATTGTTCTATCTAACCTAAAATGACAGTTTTTATGAATTTTTCTAACAGAATTCACCTCTATTAAGCAGACACCTTCAGGACCTTGCCTGGTGTCTGCTTCATAGAGGGTGTTCACTCAATAGAGGTTTGAACCATGAAGAGAAAACAGTTACTTATTTTCATTATTTTTTAAGTGTCTGAACAGCATATTAATGACTGATGTTGTCATGGTTCTGTTTGCACCTGTTATGAAATGCTTCCCAGGATCCTCAGCGGTCTCGTCTTTGTGGATAATCCTCATACGTGGAATTCCCTGTCGTCTTTCCG